ATCAACGTCAGGAATAATAATAGAAACAAAGGAAGTATACGCCTTTCGATGCGGTGTGACAAAGACAAATGTCCGTCAATAGGGACATTAGTCTCAAATAAGATACTTTATTCATTTTATTCTATCTTTAACACAAATAACTCTTATAAAAACTCAATTCTATTTTCAATGACGACCACAGCGCCTTCACCTAATATAACTCAAAACTCAAAAACTATTGTAAATAGTCTAATATCATCTTCACCATTATTTGTAATAAAACAACACCGCTAAAGGCCAAGCACAGGCTCGCTTGGAAGTATTTTGATAAAAGATACATTAAGAAGTGCTTTAAAATCACGTTTTGCGCATATATATAAACAAAAATTGTACGATATGTATCATCTGTAAATGAGACAAAGTATGATTCTGTCATTTTATTTTTTCCGCCCTTGTGCGATGGACAACCTGCACACCTATACGCGGCCACCCTGAAGACGGACATATAATTTCGGAGTGATTTGACAATTAAATAAGTTTTTTAAACTTATCTACAAATTCTAATAATGAAACTTGTAGAACTTGAAGTCTTTTACTTCTGTTATGACATCTTAGACTTGGAAAATATGAATTAATCACCGAAAAGTCAGAGAAAATTTCGCCTTTTCTATAATTTTCTCTTTAGGGGTATAAAAAATTCATACAATTTTTGCAACCTCTTTTCAGCAGTAAAGTCAATTGTCCTAAAAAATGTCACCATTTTGCCAAAAAGCCTGTTCTTACTGTGAAATTTTGTGTTTTATAGCTCTCAGGATATAGGACATGTTGGCCTGTTGTTGGATCCCTGATTGTCAACCATCTCTCGTCAGACTAAATGATATAGTATAAAACAATAAGATATTGTTTTTGAAAAGAAACAGAATTAGCAGTTATAGGGTTCGGCAAGTATCAAGACTGAGTGCAACAATCGGTGAAGGTCAAAATGTTGAAATTTTAGTTAATAAAGTTGAAGGGGAACAAAAGTGAATATTTCCATCGTTAATCTCCATGAAAAGTAATTTTTCTTAATATTTCATGAAGACGTTGAACGGAATCAAAATAAATCTTTTGACTGTGTGCTAAACAAGAATTTAATTCTCTATTGTATACTTTTTTTAAGTTCCTTTAACAACAACCAAATCAATTGGTAATTGTACTTCTTCCTTCTCTTATCAGCGTAATTGGAATCGAACTGGTCAGAGAGTTGCTGGTTCAGCTCTTGATTTAACTTGTTCATCATTAAAATATTTATATTCTCCTAGGAATAGCTATCGCTAATAAATTTGATTTATATATTAGTGACAGTGGAAATAATAGGATTATTAAATGGAAATTAAATAATTCATCATTAAATAAAGGTGAATTGGTAATTGATAGAATTGATTATTTAGCTGGAAATTCATCAACTGAATTAAATAATCCATGTGATATGGCTTTTGATGAAATAAATCAACAATTATATGTAGTTGATTCATTAAATTATCATGTACAACGACATATGTAAACTAGCAATATTAATTTGAGAACTTCGAAGCAGAGGTACTATGAAATCGTGGATCTACATCCGGCAATTGGTCTACTAATAAACGCGTTTAAATCAACTGAAACTATCAAAGCACAGAAAATCAGTTTTTGTACAAATAGAAATTCGAACATGTAAACTTAGCTTGGTAGTAAACCACCACAAAACTAAATTTACTGTTCTGTAACTATATTCTGTAGAACAACCGAAGTTGTGCAATCGACTCGATGTTATCAGTAGTAACTTTTTTGATCGTCTGATAGAGAATGGAAACAATGGGACGCTTGAATTGACAATTGATCTTAGAATAAAATCGTAGCTGGAAAATGTATTCAATGTTTCTTGTACTAAAGATAAGAAACATCGCAAGAATTTTTAACTTATTCAATTCGCAAGTTTTTTCTTACGAGATCTGGCAGGATTTTGTCTCCTATATTTATCCTGAGGCATCCTGCAATCTTTTCTCACCAATATTTGTCCAAGGTTACCATGGAAGAACTTGTCTGTATTTTTTATTATTAGAAAGTTAAGTACTTTTGCATCTTTTCTTGTAAAGTTACAGAACCCTTTCTCGTGTACGTACCTTAATATTTTGTGCACAATCTAGGCATTTTCATGTGTACAAAACCAAACTATTAATAAATAGCTGAAAGATCCTTCCTATGTCAGGAATATTCTACTTTCTTCCATCAATATGAAATTAAAGTCATTATGCGTTCTGCACGGCATTAGAATGATCCCACTACTGTGAAAAAAAGATGTATAGAAAAACAGATATCAAACTATTTTAATTTCTTCAGCTTTGAATACTATATTGAATGGTATATAATTTAAAAACTTCGATAAAAAAATTGAGAAGTTGGAGTTAATATATTAGGGTATACGTTTCCTAGTAGTTTACCGAACACGAGAGAAGCTTTTATAATTTTACAAGAAAAAGATGAAAAAGTTCTTAATTTTTCAAAAATAAGAATACAGACAAGTTCCTCTACGGTTACCCTGGACAGACATTGGTGAGAAAGAATTGCAGGATAGACATGAGAGATAAAATTCTGCCAAATCTTGTAGGAAAAATACTTGCGAACTGCCCTGGAATAATTTTTCCTGGAAGACACCGTTTCTTTTCTCCAGGATAAAATCGTACAGACCTTCCAGGGTTTGTGTAGTGAGATGTCTTATGTATTACAAGTGATAACACGGAGGAAAAAGTTCCGCAGAGTATGCAAAGTGCAGAATCTGTAAGATATATCCGTGGAACACATGTAAAAGATCCCGCACGGTGTGCCTAGAAACATGTGGCGAAGTGTCTTCAGTCTAACGGGGGAAGACCATCAACTGTCAAATCGAGTATTCAACATACTCGATCACCTATTGTCCACTAGGTTTTAAGCCAAAAGCGATTTGACAGTTGGTGGCCTTCCCTCGTAAGTCTTTTCTTCTCTCCAGTCAAAGCTTGACGGTCAAACTTTATTGAAGTTGAGCCTCAATTGGCAGAAACCAAGTGAGGCTTGAGCCTCTGAGTCTCACTGACTCCGCCGCCCTTGCCTGGAAAAGAATCCTCCAGAATCCTGCAGGAAATAAATTTAAAAAGTGAGTGTATTAAAGAACCCAGCACAATTATACTCACCACTTGCAGGAAAATTTTCGGCAAAGTAACGTGATGTGAAAACCTGCATCCAATATCCAACATTCACAGAATTTTTTGAGATTCCTGCATCGACACACAGGAATTTGTACAATTTTTTTCAGTGGGCAGGAGAAGAACTTCAAAAATTTGTTCTAATCGACAAACACTCCTATAAACAGTATTTCTCTAGAAAACAATAATTATGAAATTGCCGTTGTCTATTATTTTTTGATTTTTTGATTTTTCTCTTTTCTTTATGAAATTTAGAAAAAGAAATCGAATTTCTTGTGAGATCAATATTTGGACTATAGCCTTCAAGATTGCAATTCGATATCCAGGAAAATAAAAAGAAATATTTTCTCACTTTATTAACGATAAATACATAAAGATAATGAACAACAAAAGTATAACAACAGTAAGATGTTCTACTGGCAAGTGTTGAATGAAGGGAAAACGAATATCCTGTCTTCAAAAAGAAAACAAATTTCTTCTCAGATCAACATTTGAACTAACAATATTTAAAACTGCAACTCGATATTAGCAGTAAATATTCACTAAGTCTAGAATCAGATACAGTAGCATTTGTTAAACTAATATTGACCCTCCAATGACAAATGATAAAACAATAAGTTTCGTACATAATTCGATTAGAGAAAATGTTCGCTTATAAAGAATAAAAAAGAGCGTGAGAAAATAATTTGATCATTTCACAGAAACTCTATATCCTGACACCATTGCTATCGCTAGAATACAGTAGTCAACTATAGATTAGAAACAAACGACATTTTGAAACATCTTTAACAAAAATGAAGCTTTTTCTGGTTTCCTTTTTATTAATCGTTGGTACGTATGTTACTGATTGAAAATAAGATTCACAGAAGTTCAACACCACATGATGGTATCAAATGTACCACTCGGCATATCGCTAAGCAAGAAAGTATCGAACTGTATGCTGGTAGTATTTTGTGAAAACTAGGAGCAGTTGACACCAAATGTATTCTTCTCTGTATTTCACGATCCTTTAAGGCATTGATTTTGGAAGTGGGCTCGAATGTTATTCTTGTGACTCAGACAACGTTAATTGTGGAAATAAGTTTAATCCAGCCAATATAACGATAGACAACAGCACTAGCAATACATATTGTGTAGTAAGTATTCTTCACATTCAAATTTGTGCTATGCGATATTTTATATCAACTGTTTTTAGAAAGCTGAAGGCACAAATGAGAATGTCGGAGGTGTTATTCGAGCTGGTTCGAATCCTAGTAGTGATATAAAATGCGAATCAACTGGGTGTAGGAAGCTGAATGAAGACAAGATAAAAGCAACAGTTTGTTGTTGTAACACAAATTTATGTAATGGTGTACCAAGGACAACAGCCACAATGATAATTATAGCTACAACTGCCGTTTTTGTTGTGCTAGTGGAGTATACCTTTTACACGATGATCTAGATCAAGACCTGCGCTAGACAAGAAAATCAGACTTATTTTTCATAAACTATCTGTGTGGATCAATCAAGTTTCTTGGCCGTCATCGTTTCATGTTAACACGCACAGCAGAAAGAAGAACCGCATTTGTTTTTATCTGTCCTTTTTGTTGTTGTTTTATTATCTTTATGTAGTTAACTTTAATAAAGTGAGATAACATTTATTTTTATTTTCCTGGTTTGTGTCTTCTAGACTAAACCAGCTCTAAAAAAGCAAAGTATGATAATATGTTTGGGTTTGTTGGGCATGCAAAGAATTTTGTTCATAATTCTCAATTTTCTCTATCAGAACTCAACTTCTATGCAACTAGCAATAGTTAAATCGATCGATTATCGGGCGATAAATCGAGAGTTGCAATTAGAAGAAATCTAGCAGTCGCCCGATCACTCGATTTCCGCTGGCGTTATCCAATAGTTATAATCGAGTAAAAATCTAGTAATCTAGGTGAATCGGCGATAGTAGATTTTTGCTGACGCTAGTTAAATTGATCTTGTTTAGTTCACTTAACGCGCCGCCTACCTTTAGCACACTAAACAAAGTCTATGTTACTAGCTTGGGCGCTTTTAATTTACATTGAATTCTTGAAACGAAGTGTTAAGAGATAATATCTATAAGGACCAAAGATTATCCTGTATGATGTGGAAATCAAAATTGTAGATTTGACTAATTTTATGCGCATTCAATAGAGTATACTAAGTTATGATTACGACAAAAGTTTTTCGGCTAACTGTCGTGTCATTTCTGGGAAAAATGATTTTTTTTGGAACTACCCGCAAATTATTGATATTGTCACGTATTTTTAGGCCAATATTAAAAAATAGCTTTTTATCCTGAAATATAACTGATTATGAGATACAAAGGATAACAGTATATGCAGAATCAAATTTTCTATCCCACCATATTGTCCGCGTATCTTCTTATTATATTCTCATTGCGAAAAATTTAAAGAATAAGTTGAGACATGATTAAATTGCTGAAGGAGAAAACATCAAAAAATGTTTATATTTTGAATTTTATTCACATACAGAAAGATCGAACCCAAAATAAAAACTACTGCATTTTGTAGCCCTTGAAAAGCTCTACAAAATAAGCTAATAAATTAAAAAAAAATTGATCACGTAACACTAACCAGAATAATCAGGCAAGACAAACACGTTCGTCTGAAAAAGTACTTTAAAATAGGTCTTTGTCTTTAAAGTGGAGTCTTTTATCAAAATATCTTGGAGACTACTTGATCAATTTCTACCAAAATGTCATACAACGTAGGCAATAATAAAAGGCTAGTATGCTGGAAAAATTTTTGAGAAATTCCTAAAGATTCCACAGTTGTCATCAAAACATTGAGCACTCCTGTCTGTTTACTTTACCTGGGAGAAACTCTTTTCCACCAAATTTCATCTAAGCTCATTTTTTGAACTGGTGTCAGATTCAGTACCACATCGTCGAAGTGAGCACTAAATTAACTCTTGAATAAAAATATATTATATGTGAAATAATATTATATGCTACTAAACATGGATCCTCGTAAACTCCTTTGAAACTGTTATGAGAAACATTTTGGAGAATCACAATGATTAAGAAGGATTTTGCTTTTAGTCAGATACGCTAAGAAGAACTTCAATTAGATAGATGATCAATTTTCATAAGATAACATTTTAGCACTTTTATTTCCACAGCGATGATTCAAAATTAATTTCAAAATGAAAGCGACAGTTTCCTACAGAATTAAATTCTCTATATTATGAGCTAAATATTAAACTTTTAAACAAGTCAATATAGATAAAAATTTATTAGAAAAGTGGCTTCAGGACTTCTGGACCACCCTTTATATAACCAGTCACTAATAACATGAACACTTTGATTTTG